AAAAATAAAATTTATTTTTAATATCAATATCATATAAAATATTTTAATAAGATGATTGATAAAATTAGAGTTAATTTTTTTATTATTCTATAGACATTAATAATAAAAAAATATAATAAATACATCCATAATATGTATTTTAAGGACAAACTAAAATTTTTAATTTTTAATTAATAATAAAAATTGAGAAGGCTTATCCTTAAACTTTTATACTATTAATTGGCTTACAGGACAACTCCATAAAACAAAAGGTTTAAACTCAATTGGTAGAAATTTGAGATCCATAATTAGCTAAAGGAGCCTTCGCCCAATCAAACTTGTTCTCTATATATAGGTCCATCGGCAAGGATATCGATCCAATGATAGAAATATCATTTGAATATGTCACCCGCAGTGCTGCCTTTGTTGGTGTCCAGAATGTAATGCGAGCAGGTGCACATAAAACTTGCTTTTTACCATTTTCAAAAAAAAAAAAAAAAATCACCTTTTACCTTGGACTCCAACTGAAAAGAATGGGAAACATGAGTGCCCTCAAGTCTCTCTCATGAATTGGAATTTTCACCATTGTCAAAAGCAAACATATACATCTTGACCCCAGTTGTCATTATAATTTAGCATAGTGGCGTGATTTTTTCACTTTTTCATTGTTTCTCTCTCCTTGGATATTTTTCTCTGCATCGGATTCCTTTCTCTCTTGTCATTTACCAATGGCATAGCCACCTTTTAAAAATGTTAAATGTTAAATTTGGTCCCTCAACTTTAGTGAGTTACACAGTTTTGGTCCCTCAATAATTTTTTACACTTTTTTGATCTCTCAATTCTAAGAAATGCACACCGTTAGTTCTTCTGTTAATTTCGACCGTTAACTCCGTTACGTGGCATTTTTTATATTTTTTTTGATGACATGGCAAAAATAACTTTAAAAAGTGTTGATCTAGATTTTTTTTGATGACGTGTCAACGCCACCTCATAAACTAAATTTGCCTTAATAAAAAAATTAAAAAATTATAAATTTACCTTAATACCCCTGTCTCCTTTCTTGATACATCTTCTTCCCCTCTTTCGATCCATCTTCTTCCTTTCTTTTTTCTTTTTCTTTCTTTCTTTCTCTTCTTCCTTTTCTTCCACCAAACCCAGCAAACTGGGTTCCGTGGAACCCAGATCTACTGGGTTCGACGAACCCAACAACTGGGTTCCACCGAACCCAACTCGGGTTCGATTCTTCTGCTTCACGAGCTGATGAAAAAACCTTCATTGTCATGGTTCAGTAGGATGCCAAACCCTTGAGATTGAGCTTTTTGATTCAGTAGGATGTCATGAAAAAACCTTCAAGGAATCTGATTTTGGGTCGATCTTGTGATTGAGCTTTTTGATACCGGGATATGGCTTGAGTGGCAGAGTTTTAATGACTGGGACCCTTGAGATTGAGCTTTTTGATTCAGTAGGATGTCATGAAAAAACCTTCAAGGAATCTGATTTTGGGTCCGATCTTGTGATTGAGCTTTTTGATACCGGGATATGGCTTGAGTGGCAGAGTTTTAATGACCGGGATTTGGGTTTGATTCCTGCGAAATGGAAAGGGCAGTGCGTGACGACGAAAGATTTTGGATCGAGTTCATGTAATAAGAAGCTTATTGGAGCGAGATTCTTCTACAATGGCTAAGAGGCAACAAACGGGAAGATGAATGAAACCTCGGAGTACAAGTCACCAAGAGATTGGTGATGTAGGGCCCATTTGAATAGATTTGTCTTTTTTCAGTGACAGTAACATTATGTGGCAAAACATTTTATCCATATCATCACTTTTTTAAATTTTACCCTCCACATCATCAAAAAAAATATAAAAAATGCCACATGGGCGAGTTAACGGTCGAAATTAACAGAAGGACTAACAGTGTGCATTTCTTAGAGTTGAGGGACCAAAAAAGTGCAAAAAATTGTTTAGGGATAAAAAATGTGCATTTTTTAAAGTTAAGGGATCAAATTTAGCATTTCAGTGACAGTAAAAAAGGTTTAATTCAATTATTAGTTTATTAATTGTTAATTTAATTTTATTTTAAAAAATTTATTTTTTTAAATGATTTAAAATTTTTAGAGAATATCTAAAATAATTGATAGTACAAAATTTTAAAAAATAATCTTTTAAATTTTATAATCTTAATAAAATATAATTATTCAAGAAATATTTTATAGAAATAAATTAATTAAAATTTATAAGAAACTTGAACATTAAATTCAATTTAAACAAAAATACTTAATAAGTTTAGAATGAAAAATTTTAATAATAAATCTGTTTTATAAGATAAATTATATGTAGTCTATTCTATAAAATTATTTAAATATTTTTAAAAAA